ATGTACCTATTGGCTATCTGTATGTCTTTGAAAAATGTCTATTTAGGTCTTCAGCCCATTTAAATATATATATACTAGAGGCCCAGTGCACAACAATTTGTGCACTCGGGGGAAGGGGGGGGGCGTCCCTCAGCCTGGCCTGTGCCCTCTTGCAGTCTGGGACCCCTTGGGGGATGACCACCTGCTGACTTAGGCCCGCTCCCCGGGGGATTGGGTCTAAGATGGCAATCAGACATCCCTCTGGCAGCCCGGCAGCCCTCGGGGAATGTCCACTTGCCAGTAGGGAGCAGACCTAAGTTGCAGTCAGACATCTTTAGCACTGCTGAGGAGGCAGGAGAGGCTCCCACCACCACCGCTGTACTGGCAGCCATCAGCCTGGCTTGTGGCTGAGCAGAGCTCCTCCCATGTGAGAGCACCCTGACCACCAGGGGCAGCTCCTGCATTGAGCGTCTGCCCCCTGGTGGTCAGTGTGTGTCATAGTGACCAGTCATTCCCAGTCTTTCTGCTGTTAGGGTCAATTTGCATATTACCCTTTTATTATATAGGATAGAGGCCTGATGCATGGGTGGGGGCCAGCTGGTTTGCCCTGAAGGGTGTCCCAGATCAGGGTTGGGGTCCTGCTTGGGGGCTTGGCAAGCCTGGGTGAGGGGATGATGGCTGTTTGTAGCTGGTCACACCCCCTTCAGGGTGGGGGTGCCCACTGGGGTGCCTGGCCAGTCTGGGTGAGGGGCTGAGGGCCGTTTTCAGGCTGGCGGCGAACTGAAGTTCCACACCTCTCCTTTTTTTTCTTTTTTTAATTCTGGGATTTATTTACCTTCTATAATTGCAGCATTGTTTCTTAGACTGCAGCTCAGAGGCTGGCAGCAGCAGGCGGGGAACCTTGGCTTCCTCCATCACTGGAGCAAGCAAGCCTCTGGTTCGCTTCAGCTGCCTGGCTGCCGGCCGCCATCTTGGTTGGCAGTTAATTTGCATATCTTGCTGATTAGCCAATGGGAAGGGTAGCGAAGTTACGGTTAACTACCATGTTTCTCTATTACTAGATAAGATGTTTTAAATATTTTATTTCTATTTACTTTTTTTTTTGTTATTCCTCACCCAAGGATATTTTTCCATTGATTTTTTAGAGAGAGTGGAAGGGAGGGAGAAAGGGGGCGGGGAGAGAGACAGACAGAGAAAGGGACAGATGTGAGAGAAACACATGTATTGATTGCCTCCCTTGCGCACCCCTGCAACAGAAATAGGTGCCCTTGATGGGAATTGAACCGGGACCCTTCGGTCCCAAGGCTGATAGGATATCCACTGAGTGCGAGACCTCGGCTGCTGAAAGCAGGTATCTGAGGTTTGTGTAGCTTCTATAATTGAAACACTGTATCAGCTCCAGCTCTGAGGCCCGGCTGGCTGAAAGCAGGTTTCTGGGGTTTGTTTAGCTTCTATAATTGCAACATTGTTTCTTAGAGTGCAGCTCAGAGGCTGGCAGCAGCAGGCGGGGAACCTTGGCTTCCTCCATCACTGGAGCAAGCAAGCCTCTGGTTCGCTTCAGCTGCCTGGCTGCCGGCCGCCAACTTGGTTGGCAGTTAATTTGCATATCTTGCTGATTAGCCAATGGGAAGGGTAGCGAAGTTACGGTTAATTACCATGTTTCTCTATTATTAGATTGGATATTTTAAATATTTTATTTTTATTTACTTTTTTTTTGTTGTTACTCCTCACCCAAGGATATTTTTCCATTGATTTTTTAGAGAGAGTGGAAGGGAGGGAGAAAGGGGGCGGGAGAGAGAGACAGAGAAAGAGACAGATGTGAGAGAAACACATGGATTGATTGCCTCCTGCACCAGCCCTGACTAGGGGAGGAGCCTGCAAGAAAGGTTAGTGCCCTTGACCAGAATCCAACCTGGGACCCTTCAGTCCATAGACCCATATTCTATCCACTGAGCAAAACCAGCCAGGACTCCTTTTTTAAATGATGGAAATTCCGCCAATTTGAGAGGCTAGAAACAGGGCTTTTGCACACAAACAGCAGGGAGGTGAGGGGAATGGGTGGTTGTTTGAGGC